CACCTAAGAGGGTTCTGCGTTATCTAGCAAGTACATCGGGCATGGGCCTAGTGCTAGGAGGACGCATGCTAATGGTCTTTGCCGGGCAGACAGACGCTTCTTGGGCAGACAACACCGAGACTCTCAGGTCCTCCCAGGGCTACTGCTTTAGCCTTGTTGCTGGTGTTGTCTCGTGCAGGTCCACCTGCTTGTCGTCTGTTGCCCAGTCTAGCTGTGAGGCTGAGATCTACGCCGGTGCCATGGCGGCACAGGAGCTCCGCTGGCTGAATTTCTTGCTCACAGACTTAGGTGAGCGGCCTAGCTCTGCCCCGGTCCTGTACGCTGACAACAGGGCCATGATCCTCCAGTGTCAGGAGCCCAAACTCGAGGGCAAAGCAAAGCACATCCAGCAGCGGTTCTTCCTCTTGCGCGAGCTTCAGCACCGTCGCCAGGCCCGCGTAGTACATTTGGCCTCCGGTGCCAATACAGCTGATATCTTTACTAAGGCGCTTGCACCTAAAGATCATCAGCGGCACTGAAGCACCTCATTTGCAAGGATCTTGATTGTGTGTAACTCTTTATATAGCAGTGCTCAAAGAGTAGTCATCTTCCAGGTTGGGGCAAAGGTCTTAAAGAAGTCCACCCCCTCACGCTGACTGAAGCCTCTAGCCACGTAGCGCGCCTTGAACACAGGCGCCATTAGGGCGCTTCACATTAAAGAGCCACCAGCCATCGACTATGTTCACCCCAGGTGGGGGAACTGCGTCGACGTAGGTGCCGGTGGATCTCCAAGATGCCATCTCCTGCTCCATGGCAGTTATCCATTAAGAGGCCCAGGGTCCCGAGGTCGCCTCAGCGTAGGTGCGAGGGGTCGGGATGCCGAAAGCGTCTAGGTCACCCTCAGGGACTAGCAGTATGGAACACAGATGGGGAGCAGCCTTAGACAGGAAAGCAAGCTTGTACTGCTGGTCCTCCAAGACGTCACTGCCAAGGGCAGGAGCACCTCCGACGGACGGAGGACGAACAGGGTCAGAGACCAGAACGGTGACGTAGTCAAGGCGGCGGGTAGAAGCGAAGGTAGTGACAGCAGCGAAAAGGGCTTCAATACGCGAAACAGGGACAGACGGGTCGGTAACAAGAGAGACAAGGACCCGCAAGACAAGAGGAGGAGCAGCATGAAGGTAGTCAGACAGAGGGGGAGGCACGACAACAAGGGACGACGGAGGAGGCGACGGGAGGAGAGGAAGACGAGACGCGTGGGAATGAAGCAACATAGGGTGAGAGTGCTGAACAGGAAAGACAGGACAAGCACGAGAGGGACGACGAGACCAGACATGAGACGGAGGCATGGGGTCAGGAGACAGAGGAGGAGATACTAGAGGGGAACGTAGAGGGAGATGAGCCGGAGACGAGTCCGAAGGAGGGAACAGAGGGCTGTAGATAGGAGACGGCGGAGGAGGCGTAGCCGGAGGGGAGGGGAGGGAAGTTCGAGCAGGCAAAGGGCGGACACCGGCGGCGACTGCTGCTGCTGCTGCACGACGCCGATACCAGGACTACCAGCTGCACCACGGCGACCCCCAACACACTCCACTCCAGCACCCCCTGAAGTAGCACCCCCAGAACCAGGACCCTCACCAGCACCGACACCACCCCTAGGCCCGCCGGGACAAGCCACGAGAGGAACCCCAGGACTAGCACCCTCCTCAACGCCAGCACCCCCAGAGTCCACGAACGGCTGCTGCTGCTCCAGCTGCGACGACGGCAGCTGCTGCTGCGGTTGCAATGACGGCTGCTGCGGTGGCGACTGCGACAGCGGAGGAGGAGACACCAGGGGAGGGGCAGGCGGCAAAAACGTCACCGCAGGGCCACCAGAGTCAGCAGACTCCTCGGCAGGGGCAACCGATGGGAGGGGAGTGACGTGAGACATACCAGACGGGGCCGGATGGGGAGGGAGGGGAGCAGGGGCTACTGGGGGAGTGGGAACTAGAAACAGGAGAGGGGAGACCGGGAGACCTCGGTGAGGAAAGCGGTGGTAGACGGAGACAGACTCGTTGAAAGTGACGTCACACAAGTGGGGGAAGCGGTGAGACTGCGGGTGGTAAAAGTGCCAGTCAGATGAGTCAGGGGACCGTGCAGGCAGTGAGCTTGTCCGTGCCAGAGACACGAACGTGAGTGAGGCAACCCCAGACGTGGAACGCAGACGCGTCACCAGGGGACCCGGTCCAGAGGAGGGTCGGCGAAACCTACGGCCGCTGGGAGCGCGGCCACAGGTTAAGCTGGTGAGCGGCGTAGCGATCGGCGAACGGCCACAGAAAATGGGGTGCACCGGCATGAATCATGGAGGCACGAGCCACCTCCATGACCAAGCCGATGCGTCGCTCAGCGAAATCCAACATTATCTCTATTAAGTGGAGAATTATCCATGAGGAATTGGTTGAGACTGTTTTGTCGAGTCTTCTGCTGCGGCGGCGGCGGCGGCGGTTGCGACGATGGCGACGGCAGTGGCTGCTGCAGAGAATTTTCAACTCGTAATGGTCGAAGGAGAATCCCTTAACTCCCTCTTCCGAATAGAGTATTCCTAATGGGTGTAACAAGCATGAATACTAAGAATATGTGCACATTAGTACACATGTGTTGCTCCATTGCTGCCGGTGATTGTTTCATTTGAGGGTATGAATATAAATTTGCTTCTCCCGTCAATGTATCCACGGGTTGCAATTCCTGGTATGCTCATCCGTGCCTCCGATGTACAGTCGGTAGAGCGCGTGATCGTGTTGTCGTAGTCCGCACCTCCCTCATTTGTTGACACCTTGTGTTGCTTAGCGTTCTCCTGCATCGTCGAAGTTACGCTGATGCTTGTAACGCTTCGGCTTCTGGTAGAAACGCCTCCAATGCATGTGTCGTAGGGTCGCTAGTGGGAGTTCTTGCCGGATTCGATGTTTATTACTCCTCAATCTGTCAAGCATCGTGACATGCACGGAATGTTTTTCCACGCAGGTCATTAACTACTGGAATCGCGACGCATGATTGGTGTGTCGCCTCGTGAGGTTGATGTTGAGACTGCTCCAATACATCACTTCGGATGGGTGAGATTCTTGATGAAGACGAATCAATCAGCTCCTGTTACGAAGAATTTTCTGGCTGGCCTTGACGAGACGGGTTCACTTCGTCGTCGTTGTGTGCGAAATCTGCTTCTTCACAGCAACTTGAACTTGGGAGCATTGCAAGAGAAAACGGCTACTTCTCTGCAAACCCATAGATTGTCGATCAAATTTAAAAGATGAAGTGTCTCATGGATGGAGAACATGTCTTCACGGAGCTTCATTGTTTTTCTTGGGTGAAGATCCGCTGTGTTGATGTCGATCCATGCTGAACGAAGATAACTTCGTCAAAATAAGTAGATCGTTATTGATACTAGTCAGAATATGTGTCGATTATGCAGTCCCTGGTCACGAATGTTGTCTCCATGATAAACCTTTGTCGAAGGGAATAGACCCTTCTAGAAATAGAATCACCCTGTGTATAGCCACGCGAGGCTATTGGCTTTAAGGGATTATGGCAGGATTACGCTCGATATATCGCGTGAGTACATCCCGAGCCTGGTCGGTGATATAATCATAATAACAGGATAAACCAAAGGATAATGGAATAGGAGGAATAGGAAACCAAGTGAGATGAGATAAAGACCAAATGAATCGGGATAAAAAAGAGGAATGAAATAGAAAGAAAATATGAAAATGGAAAATTAGTGTAACGGGGTCGTACTCTCACAGCATCCATGGCAGCTATCCACTGAGAGGCCAAGGGTCCCTACGTCTCCTCAGCGTAAGTGCAAGGGGTTGGGATGTCAAAGGCATCTAGGTCAGCCTCATGGACTACCAGCATGGAGCAGAGACGAGGCGCGGCCTCGGACAGGAAAGCAAGCATGTATTGCCGGTCCTCCAAGACGTCTCTGCCAACGACAGGAGCACCCCCGACGGACGGAGGATGGGCAGGGTCAGAGACCAGAGCGGTGGCGTAGTCAAGACGGCGGGTAGAGGCAAAGTCAGCGGCGGCAGCGACAAGAGCGTCAAGACAGGGGATAGGAACGGAGGAGCAATGCGATAAAGGGTAGCGCAGAGCGATGGAGTGCGGAGGAGTGCAGTGGAGTGCGGAGGAGTGCAGTGGAGTGCGGAGGAGTGCAGTGGAGTGTAGTGGAGTGCGGTGGAGTGCAGTGGAGACTGGTGGAGTGCAGTGGAGAGTGACGAGCGGCTAGGAACGGGCGGCTAGGGCTAGAACTAGAGCGGAAGCACGGGTGGGCGGGGAGGACCTAACCTAGCGCGTGATACCATCTCATAGTAGAATTGTTAGCTAGAATATGAGATACATGGTGGTTTTGCTTAAGGGGTTATAATCTCTAAGAGTACGCACCTATCTAGCCTATAGTAACATATACATACATGTTTGACACATCTCAGCTCTGGAAAATTTCAGCCCTCGTCATTCAGCCTTCCAAAAAATGACCATGAAAAAAAAAAAAAAAAATCGCAATTTCCAAAACCTGAACCTGAAAAACGGGGGCTCCTGCTGGGGTCACCCTGAGCCAACAGCCCCTCAAAATCAATATGAAGCCCTGGTGGCAATACTCTTGGTGTCATTTTGTTTAGTGAATCTACCGTAGTTAAATTTATTCCTAATTCGAGGGTGCTAGATTCGCGGCGGATCGTTCAGAAACGAGGATCCATTGGAATTTCAACGTCAAGCTGAAGCAAATTCTCTTTGCGCGAAGAGCGCGGGAAACCCTGCACAGCTCGGTATGGTTCGCAAAATTGGATGGATGTGCAGCAGCGAGGCGGGAGCTGGGATCTCTCCCACTTCTGGTACGGTGGGGTCGTTATAATATAGGTGCTTTCGTTTTATCCTCGGTTTCTGGTGGCTCTTGCTAGGCCAGGTTGGCTTGCTTCGTGTGAAGCACAGCCAGTTCACAAATGCCCGTTTCAGTTGCACTGCAAGACAAGGAAGTCTGAACTGCGTCTGCAAGCAGTTGTCATCGGTCCGTCCGTTTGCTGCTGGCATCTTAGCAGCATCAGCATCACCCATCTAACGAGTCGTCGCAGTATCACCATCCATAATTCCTGCTAGCACCTAGCATCGGCGCCACCATTCACGAGACCGCTCCATCACGACTCCTCGCCGCGTCCTATACAAATACTATAAGCTCTTGTGAAGGTCTTGTCACAAATAGTGTTTGTATTCCCCGTACGCGTGAGTGTCTCAGCAGTAGAACATTCGGTACCCTGTTGAACACTTTGTTCAAACGCCCGGTTGGCAGGGAAGGAAAATTCCCACATCCATTCATAGGCTGGCGATCCGTTCCCTGAATACGTTCTCTGATTCAAAAAGTATTATCCCAAGTCCCGATTACCAACGCGCCTGTAGTGTCGCCATGTCGGCCCTTTATGTCATAAAGGTGAGCAAGAAATCGCCGGGTTTAGCGAACTTCTTTTTGAGTCGACTGGAAAATTAGCGCGTCGCTACCCTATGCTTTTAAATCGTCGCTGAGGTACTTATTCTACAGCTGTCGAAAGCACGTATCGCCAGATTTATGCGTCAGGCTTGAACCTTCGTCAGGCGTCAGGTTCCCCCTCATATAGAATTCTAAGGCTTGAAGATTTTACTCGTTCCAATGGTATTAACTGCGCGGCGTACTTAATCTGGCTCGGATGAGTTGAAAGTCGCAATGTGTCTCCCTGCGACCCACTCCTCCGTCGTTTATCACGACAGAGGTCAATTGCTCCTCCCCCCACTCCCTTTCGTCCTTCCCTCTCTCCCCTTTCCCTCCTCACTTCGCTCTCCCCCTCTCTTCTCTCCCTCCCCCCCCCCCCCCCCCCCAGGTCTACTGCGGGAGGGAACTCCACCGCATCTCGTCTCGCTCCACCCCTCCGTCGTCAGACTGGCGTAGGTCAATTGCTCTCCACTTACTACCGTCGCCCCCGCTCCCCCTTTCTCCCCCCCCCACCACCACACCCCCAGGTTAACTGCGGAGGGATACTCCACCGCATCTCCTCTCGCTGCGCCCCGCCGTCCTTCCGCCACGTCAGCCTTCGGATTCGCGCGCTCCTCGATGTACCCGCCACAAAGCCGCTCTCGCTGACGTACACCGACGCGGACGGTGACGTCATCGCCGTTCGCACGGACGATGACCTTTACGACGCGTTTATCTTCCAGGAGTTGAATCCGCTTCGCGTTGACGTTAATGCTAACGTTGACGTTGACGTGAATGTTGGCGTTAAAGTGTGTGGTGACGGTGGCGTCACCTTGACGACTACTGAACTGACGGAGTCCGTCAAGACGGACCTGAAGTGCCTCCCACCCGTCAGCACGTCTGTTGCCGTCAGCACTGACGACGACCTGCCCCTCCCTCCCTCATATTCTGGAAAGAAGACGACTATTGAGGCGACTCAGAAGTCTGTTGCCGTCAGCACTGACGACCTGCCTTTCCCTCCCCCCTGTCCCGAAGAAGAGGCTAGCGATCCACCCTCTCTTCTGGATAGTAGTACCAGTGCCGTTACTCGTGATCCGGGAAACGAGGTTATCGCTGATACTACGAAAAAGACAGTTGCAGCTGATAAGACAGTTGCAGCTGATAAGACAGGCGCAGCCAGTGATGGAAAAGCATACACCACTGATGCTACCGTTACTGCTGCTTCAGTGAAAGCAGTTACCACTGATACCGTTACTGCTGCTTCAGTGAAAGCAGTTACCACTGATACCGTTACTGCTGCTTCAGTGAAAGCAGTTACCACTGATGCCACCGGTACTGCTGCTTCTAGCCTTCCAGCAGGTGCTAGCAATCCAACTGTGCCTGCCGTTGCACTTGGTGCTGCTGCTACCGCTCCTTCTGCTGCTGCCGTTCCATCTGCTCTTGCCACTTCATCTGCTGTTACAGTTTCATCTGCTGCTACCGTTTCATCTGGTACTGCCATTCCATCTGCCTCTGTTACATCCACCCCTCCCACTCCATCTGCTGCTGCAGCTCCTACTTCTGGATTTGGTGGTTTCGCTGTGGCATCTGCTTCTGCCTTGGGCACTTCTGCTTTTGGTGCTATTGCAGCTAAGCCTGCCAATTCCGGCTCTGGTGGTTTTGCTTCTAAACTTGCCAATTCCGGTACCGGTGGTTTTGGAGCCTTTGCTGCTAAACCTGCTTTGGGTGTTTCTGCTCCTGGACTTGGCACTAATGGCTTTGGTGCCTCTACTCCATCTGCTACTTCAGCTTTTGGCGTTTCCACTCTCTCTCCCTCTCTTACCACTTCCTCTTCAAAACTCAGCGCGTCCACTCCTGCTTTTACAACTGCTTACTCAGGTTTCGCTGCCTTTGCTGCTGCTTGTGCTCCAGACGCTTCCCCTCTTTCTGGTTGCGGTGCTGCTCGTGCCACTTGTATATCTGGTTCTGGTAACATGGCAGAGGCTGGTAGTACCTTTTCGGCAGGCAGTGGTACAGCAGCAGCAGCAAGCCTCCAGAAGCCTCTAACAGCTGCCGGCTCCTCCCCCCACTATTTGGGCTCGTCCACTCCTGCTAGCGGTGCTTTTACTTCTCCGTTTGGCAGCACGGCAGCATCTGGTAAATCCTACTCCCTGGATGGTGGTATGGCAGAAGCAGCAGCAAGCCTCCCGAAGCACATACTGGCTGCCGGTTCATCGACCCGCTCTTTGGGCTCGTCCGATCCTGCCAGCGGCGTTTCTTCTTCTCCTTTTCGCGCTGGTAATACGGCAGCACCTGGTACTTTCGTTCTGGCTGGTGGTGGTATGGCAACAGCAGCATCAAGTGTCTCCAAACCTGGAGTGGCTGCTTTTTCTTCTGCTCCTTTCGCTCAGAGCGCTCCTGTGTCTGCCACTTCCGGCTTTTCTCTTGCCTGTACAGCACCAGCAACAAGTCTGCCCGAGCCTCGAACAGCCCCCCTTTCTTCTTTCCCCTCTCGCAGCTCTCCTGGTTTTTCTCTTGGTGCAGCCCGGCCTGCAAGGTAGTGTGCCGTTGACTCTGAGCGGGCTTCTGCAAGTGAAATTCCCTGGCTCCGTATACATGTCAGCAGTGTGGTTTTGAGTATCCGCCCGTGTACAGTCTGCTTCTCAAATTAACCCACAGTAGCCCCCGCTTGGAAGGTTGTGTGCTGCTGACTATGGACTTGGTACATGGAGTGAGAGGATGGGTGCACAATGTGCATAAAAAAATGTCAATATGTCTAACCCCACTTCCAGTAGTCCTGATCTCTTATTGAGCTCAAAGTTTTGCAATCAGCTTGGCAGCACACATGTAAGGGTGAAGAAGACTACCGCCTGATAATGGACTGAGATGTACTGGGGAGGGGATGTTCCACCGCTCTTGGCAGGCAGCAGCAACAGGAGCACCCCAAGAACACAGACAGGTCACAGAACCTACTGGCAGGTAAAAGGAGACTATACAGCTAGAAATCCGTGGGTAGGAAGGAGGGGAACGTGCCCCCACTCTTCGGTAGCAGCAGCAGCAAGCTACCGTTCAGCAGCACCCACGCGAGCACGAACCGCCATCTGCCAAGTGGCGAGACCTCGTCGAGCGATGGGAGTTCCTCACTGTTGCGGAAGGCGAGGATGATAAAGGCCCAGAAGAGGCACAGCACGCTGCCGGAGAACCCTCCAAGTGCCAGGAGGGCTACTGTAATGAGGGTGGTGATCTTGGCCTTGCGCCTGCCGAATAGGGCCTGCATAGCAGGGGGGATGCAGGAAAGGAAGTACAGGGCAGGAGAGTGAGGGAAGCTCCTCGCTGTTGCGGAAGGCGAGGATGATGAAGGCCCAAGAGGGAGAGCACGGATGATGATGAAGGCCCAAGAGGGAGAGCACGGATGTGCTAGTGTCATCAGTACCAGTATAACACGCCTGAGCACCCATGACCATACCTGCACCATGTGCCCCCCATCCAATTGCCCGGCTGGCAGCAGGTTGAGTGCCGTGACCACAAACCCCAGCAAGCCAGCGAAGGCTAGTGCGGGACATACCCTAGGGCTCCCCTCAATACACGCTGCAACACAGCTGCCCAGCTGGCAGCAGGTTGAGCGCAGTGATCACGAACCCTAGTAGCCCTGCGAACGCCAGAGAGTGTCCAGTCCCCTAGCGGCCCCCTCAACACCCAAGTAACGGACCTGCACCATGTGGCCCCAGTGCAGCTGCCCGGCTGGCAGCAGGTTGAGCGCAGTGATCACGAACCCTAGTAGCCCTGCGAACGCCAGCGGATTCACTGGCACCCCTAGCCCCTCCACCGCGTTGGGCATGACGTTGCCCAGGTCGGCAGGGCATGGTCCTAAGACCTTTATAACTGGTACCGGTGTACCCACATTGATCGCTATGCTACCACCCACCTGCACCATGTGGCCCCCGTCTAGTTGCCCGGCAGGTAGCAGGTTTAGCGCAGTAATCACGAATCCCAACAGCCCTGCGAACGCCAAAGGGTTGACCGGCACCCCTAAGCCCTCGACTGCGTTGGGCATGACGTTGCCCAGGTCGTCAGAGTACGGGCCGATGACGTATTGGATGAAGGAGAGGAGGAGATTGGGAGAGAAGAAGGAGGGCTCGATGTACCTGATCGGGGGGGGGGGAGAGGTGGTGGGGTTGGGATGGGAGGAACGAAGGGCGGTGAGAAGAGGTGCAGGGCATGAATTTCTCAAGGGCGTCAGAGTACGGGCTGATGACGTAGTGGATGAAGGAGAGGAGGAGGTAGAGGGAAAAGAAGGATGGTTCGATGGGCCTGATTGGGGGGGAATTGGTGGGGGTGGGATGGGAGGACAGTAGGGCGGTGAGAAGAGGTGCAGAGGATGGAATTCTCAAGGGCGTCAGAGTACGGGCCGATGACGTGTGCATGGAGAGGAGGAGGTTGGCAGAGAAGGAGGGCTCGATGCACCTGATTGAGGGGGAGCGGGAGCGTGGGAAGGGAAGGGAGGGGAGGGGAGAGAGAGTGCTGGGAGAGCAAGGGGCGTGACATTGCCAAGGTCGTCAGAGTATGGGCCTATGACGGATTGAATGCAAGTCAGGAGCAGATTCGGAGAGAAGGAAGGCTCGATGTGCCTGAAAGTGGGGGGGACCACTAGGGCCGCCTCAGCTAGGACCCCTAGGTGTGCGTCGCGCTTGCTGTATCCATGCTTTTGAGGCGCCTCAAAAGAAGGTGTATACAGCATGTACGGACATGTATACATGCCTTACCTACCATGCCCGTAACTCATTCCTACCTAAATCAAGGACGAATTGGGGGAGAATGGGTGGGAGATGGAAGGGAAGGGAGGGGATGGGACGAAAGGAAGGGAATGTTATTGCGTGTGTGAGAGGGAAGAGGATAGTGAGGCATTGGAACCTGCAGAAGGAGAAACCTCACAAAAACCACATCTTAGATGGTAACCACATCTTAGACGGTAACCACATCTTAGACGGTAACCACATCTTAGACGGTAACCACATCTTAGATGGTAACCACACGAAAACCCAACACGGGAACACAACGCCTCACATGGGGTCAATGCCCCCATTGGTGCCGCCATCAGCAGCCAGCGCACACATGCGGGCAGAATGAACGATTGATGTGCCTCACATACAGGTCAACGCATATCAGCACGAGTCAACATAAGTCAGCTAAAAGTCAATGAATCTGACTCACATGGGGTCAGTGCCCCCATCGATGCCGCCGTCAGCAGCCAGCGCCACACACGCCAGAACGAACGACGTCACGAACGACCCCACCGCCTTGGCCGCACACATGTCAAACAGCGCCTGGTGAGGTATAAGTGGGGTAAGAACAAGGGGGGGTTGTGTGGTGCCTGTGGAGGGAGCGGGCAAGGGATAAAACGTGTTGTCTGGTCGTTCATACAGAGCATACATACAGCTACTGCTCTACTGACCAGGGAGCACTTTTGAGCCGACTCAAAAGTCACATTGTCGTCACCACAACACATACATACAGCTACTGCGCTACTGACCAGGAATCTGGAACAAGCCCCTCAAATAACTATTGTGTCGGCCCAAAACTTGCTCCGTGCACGCACCACATAGCATGCATGTAATGCGCTACTGGCCTGGGAGGAGCAAGCAAGGGACTCAGAGCGCCCAGGTCTGTAGCGCATTAGCTGTATGTTTTTGAAGCGCCTCAAAAGCAAGTTAGGGACTCAGAGCGCCCAGGTCTGGCAGGGGGAGTAGCTGTATGCGCCACCGACCTCGCCCCCTGGGCAGTGTCGTGGCAGGGCAGGGCAGCCCAGGGGCCCAGGAAGCGCGCGTGGGAGTGCACATGTACATGGATATGGCAGGGCAAGGCAGCCCAGGGGTCCGGGGAGCAGGTAGGGCGGGGATAGCTTTACCTTGAAGTGCTTGAAGTGCTGCCGACATCCACCCAGCATACAGCCACACTCGATATAGTTGATACGCTACGCTACTAACCTGAGAGGAAGGTACCCCACTGACTCAAGGCGCGGGGGTGTGCTGTGACAGCCCAGGGGCCCCGGGAGGAGGTAGGGCGGAGAGCTGCACTCTTAACTGTTCCATACAGTCACACTGCATACTGTCACACTGCATACTGTCACACTGCATATTGTCACACAGCATATTGTCACACTGCATATTGTCACACTGCATAGTCACACTGCGTACTGTCACACTGCGTCTGTCACACTGCATACTGTAACAGACACTGCATACAGTCAGACTGCATACAGTCGCACTGCATACAGCTATCTAGCCGCATCTAGCCGCAATGACTCACCTGCATCTAGCCGCCATGCAATGACTCACCTGCATCTAGCCGCCATGCAATGACTCACCTGGGAGGAGGGAATGAGAGACTCGAATCTTGTGGCCGTGCCATGGCAGCCCAGGGGCCCGGGCAGGAGGTAGGGAGGGGATAGCTTCACCCCGTAGCGGCCTGCCATGATGCGTTGCAATATCTGGGGGGGAGTGGGGGGTTGGGGTGCGAGTGGCGGTGGGAAAAAAGAGGAGGAAACGCAGTGAACCGTCTTTAAGGGAAGGTAGGGCGGATGTGTTTACATATCACTTATATCACTTATATCACTTGGTCCTGTTCACCCCATATCCCTTAAACCGTGCCATGATGCGCCCAGCCAAGATGCGTTGAAAGAGCTGCAGAAGGGGAGGGGAGGGGGGCGGGGTGGTGGGGGTGGGAATAGATGGGAGGAAGCGCACTGAACCATGTGTAAGTCAAGATAGGGCGGAGATAACTTTATCCCATAGCGCCCCGCCATGATGCGTTGAAAGAGCTGCAGTGGGGGATGGGGATAGAGGGGAGGAGAAGGAATGAGCAGAGCGGAGAGAAAGGCAGAGCGGAGAGAAAGGCAGAGCGGAGAGAAAGGCAGAGCGGAGAGAAAGGCAGAGCGGAGAGAGCTTCACCCCATAGCGCTCCGCCAAGATGCGTTGAAAGAGCCGGGGGAGAGGGGGAGAACAAGGGGCAGAGGGTGGGGAGTCTATTTTTGAGGCGCCTCAAAATTAGACTCCTCACGAATAGCCGGGGGAGAGGGGGGGAACAGGGGGCAGAGGGTGGGGAAGGGAAGGAACATGTGAGAGCGCAAGGGGCAGTTCAGTCTGGAGGTAGGGTAGGGAGAATGCGAGATGTTCACTTCTTAATGCTTTGCCCAGGAAAAGCTAGTGGGGAGAGAGGGGGAGGGGAGGGGAGGGGAGGGGGATATGAATCAGAGGGGGGGGAACGAGCATGCAAGACAGGTGGTGGGTGGGAGGAAGGGCGTGATGGGAGGCTGCTCCAGCTTTTTGTGTCCTGTGACATTGTAACGAGGAGACTTTTGAGTCGACTCAAAAGTCACCTAGTTACGATGGTGGGAGGAAGGGCGTGATGGGAGGCTGCTCCAGCTTTTTCACAGGTGCCGCTAAAAGAAACGAGCATGTAGGACACAGGATGCTGAGGAAGGCATGATGCGAATGGTAACGCCCATTCCAACTCCAAAGGGTTGAGAGACGATAGGAAGAGTTCCAAATCGACCCCGGACATGGTGGTGGCTAGACGGATCAGGAGAGAGCAGCACGAGGGCCCAGCAGGGAGACAAACTCGTTTTGAGGATTCTCAAACGCTCGATTTTGAAAAATATTTTTTGAGAATTCTCAAAATCTCGATTTTGATCATTATTTCTTTTGAAATTCTCAAAAACGAATTTAACAGGTCAGGAGAGAGCAGCACGAGGGCCCAGCAGGGAGACGCGGATCATTAACGAGCAAAGGATGGCTCATACCGTGGGATATCCTCTATTGTGCCGGGTGCTTTTGGGTTGTCTTCTACTTTGGGTTGGTGTTTTTGGGTTGTTGTGAAGTTGGGAAATTTCTCAAAAACACCCTGCACAAGCAAAGGATGGCTCGTCAAGTGGGACATTGGGGGAGGGCACCGCCCACCCCTACTACAATCATGGCTGCAAGACCCACAGCCAGCGGGACGGCACCCCAGCTCCAAAGGGGTCGAAGTTGACCCAGAGACAGTGGCCGTGGTGGTGAGACAGCCGACAGAACGACAAAGGGTAGGGGCAGAAAGTGGTCGAGGCGGGCTCATTACGTCCCCAACGCCGACGATCGCTGCAAGGCCGAGAGCCAACGGAAGAGCCGGATGGGACGGCTCCCTGACGCCAAAGGGGTCCACGTTCACCCCAGACACGGTGGCCGTGGTGGCGTGACAGCTGAGGAGGGAGAGAGCAGCACAAGGGGCATTGACACTGACCTCGCCCACTCCAATGATGACAGCAAGACCCAACGCCAGAGGTAGGGCCTGATGGGATGGCTCCCCGGCTCCGAAGGGGTCCAGGTTCACCCCAGACACGGTGGCCGTGGTGGCGAGACAGCCGACGAGGGAGATGAGAACGAGTGGCCAGCGGGACAAGCCGTTGAGCTGAGATAGGGCGAGGCGGCGGTTGATAGACGCTGCTGGCTGCACTATGCACACCTGGGGATGGGGTAGAGGAGATACAGGGGGAGGAGGAGAGACAGCCCAGGCGGGGAATCAGCACGAGGGGCCAGAGGGGGAGGCTGGAGGGGTGGGAGAGGGAGAGGCTGCATCAGAGGGCTGGGAGAGGGAGATTTGGAGAATTCTCAAAAATACCCTGCAAACTAGAGGGACAGGCTGGAGGGGTGGGAGAGGGACAGGCGGCGAGTGATGGACGCTGCTGGCCGCACAATGCACAAGTAAAGAGTAGATTGCTTTTGAGTCGACTTAAGAGTAGATTTGACGACTGCTTTTGGCTCCACTATGCACACCTGCTTCGCCCACCTCGTCCGGCACACACCAGCTACGCCACTGGGTCCAGGACCGACCGCACGCACCAAGATTTTTTGCAGGCTGCTTTGGGGAATTCTCAAGAACGCACAGCTATCACCACCAGGACCAACAACACGCACCCCCAAGCCACACCACAGGAACCGCCAATCTCCCGTTCCCTGTGCTCTTCGTTTAGAAAGAACACCTCCATGGGGCACCTAGCAGCAGCCTCGCCTGGCTTATTATTTTAGTCAGCCCATGCAGAGACTAAAAGACGAAAGAGAAGGAGAGTGCCAAGGTCTACTTAAAGAACGCACCTCCTTCTCCCGCTGCTCGTCCTTCAAGAAGAAAAACCTCCACGGCGCACCCAGCAGCTTCCCCCAGCTTCACCTGCAGCCTCTCCCGCACGTCCGCCACGTCAGCAGCCCGCAGGTTGCCTGTGAAGAGTGCGCCCGTGCCGTAGGGGCGCGAGTCCGTGGGCCAGAAGTCGGTGTAGGAGAAGCACGTGCGGAGCTGAAGGGAGGTTACAGAGGGGGGAGGGGGAGGGCGGAGGGGAAGGGAGGAGTGGAAGGAGAGAGAGAGGTGAACAGAGCGTGCTGTAGGGGCGCGAGTCAGTGGGCCAGAAGTCGGTGTAGGAGAAGCACGTGCGGAGCTGTATGGAGGAGGAAAAGGGCGAAAGGGGAGGAAAATGCATAGTGCTTTAGTAAGGCGTGCGCACGTGCCGTTGGGGGGTTGAGTCCGTGGGCCAGAAGTCGGTGTACGAGAAACACATGTGGGCGGTATGGGGAGTGGGGAGAGGGCGCAGGGTTTAAGGCGGGGGGGAGGAGAGAAAGGAGCAGTTGCCCTGAGAAAGATTCGGGGGACAGTGCTGTGGGGGACAGTGCTGTGGGGCGCGAGTCAATCGCCCAGCAGTTGGTGTACGAGAAGAAGGTGCGGAGCTGGATGGCAGAGAGGAGGGGGAGGTGGAGGGGAGAATAAAGGACGGTGCTTTTGAACATGGAGCAGCGGAAGGGGCGTGAGCGAATTCGTCCAGAATTCGGTGTAGGAGGAAGCAGGGGTGGAGCCAGCCCCGCCCGCATCACCCACCAGCATCACCACCAGCATCACCAGAAGCAGCACCAGAAGCAGCACCACCAGCAGCAGCACCAGAAGCCCGTTCACCTCTCCCTCACTGCCCTCTCAACCCCAAACCAAACCCACCGTCTGTCACCTTGCAAGAATCCAGCTTTCCAACAGCACCCTTTCTGTCATCCGTCACGCCAAAAGCATCCTCTATGGCCTCCGCCAGCCCCACCAGCAGCCCCTTCACAGCACCAGCAGCAGCACCACCAGCAGCACCAGCAGCAGCCCCACCAGCAACCCCACCAGCAGCCCCACCAGCAGCCCCTTCACCGCGCCCTGTCCCTCGCTCTCACTTCATTTCACCGATTCAGTGACCCAGCACAGTGCTCTCACCTTGGCTATGTCCAGCTTCTCCACGGTTCCCTTGCCATCATCCGTCACGCCAAAAGCGCCAGCCGCATCAGCAGCCCCTTCACCACGCCCTCAGTGCCTTCAGTGCTACCTCGCCGCCGTCTCACCCCACCCACCCGTCAGTGGCGCGTCTCACCTTGGCGATATCCAGCTTTTCCACAGCCCCTTTCCCATCATCGCTCACGCCGAACGCGTCCTCTATGGCCTCCGCCAGCCCCATCAGCAGCGCCTTCCCCGCGCCCTCGCCCTCCTTCCCCCTCTCACCGCCGCCGCCGCCGGCACTATCGTTGCCACTCCCACTTGCGCTGCTTGGCACTTTCCCGGCCCGCCTCACCGCCTGCAGCGCCTGCTGCCTCCGCCGCTCCTTCTCCCTCTCCTTCTGTTCAATTTTCTCCTTCTCCTTCTGCTCCTTTTCCTTCTCCTTCTCCTTACTCGTTGCCGAGTCTCCTTCTCTCTCTCTGTCTCCCCTTGCCCCCTCAGGAGCGTCACTGGATTTGGCGGGTTTCGCCGAACCAGCGGCTTCACTCTCGGCCTCCGAGCCGCCACCAGCAGAGGGCCCATCCTCCGCATTAACTCTCACGATTCGCCTCCTGAATCCGCGGCTCCGCCTTTCCGGTCGTTCGCCTAATGTTGCTGCAAGACTCCGTATCCTCAGGGGGATACTTCGCTCGGATTGGACGCCAGGGAAGTGTTGACGTGGAGGGACCTGCGAGGCAGCAATCCGTGAAGAAGTAAACGCGATGCGAGCGCGGGATTGCGGAAGTGCAGCTGTGAACCTTAGGGCGCCTTGGGTCGCCTACTAATGGCACCTAAGGGAACACATTCAACGGCACGCATTACGCTACTAAGGAAATTGCCGAGAAGCAACATGACAACGGAACTTACGAAAATGGTGGCCGCGGGTTTCAGCGGCGATTCTGCATCACATTCACTCGTTAGATTGCTCGTGGCGTATCTCTGAGGCAAAGAAGCTACCAGGCTAGCCATAATCGCGGTCATTGTCGACAGCGCCGGCTAAGACTCCAGGAAATGGCCTGGAGTCCAACGATACGCGAGCAGGAAGCAGAATTCGTAAGACCTCAAGGGAGATGTGCCAAACGGGGGGCTTCAGAATTCGTAAGACTTCAGTGACGGGGGCTTATGTAGGGAAAAGAATTGCAGTAATGGGCTCGAAAGAGATGTGCCAAACTGTACGTCTATCGAGCAGTACGAGGAACAGGCGGCGTCAGCATCAGGCTTAGGATGCTAAAACAACGATGTCCTAGTACATAAGCTCAGAGCAAAGGCAAGCCGTAGAGGATCTACCTTGGACTAGGAGCCGCCATTACATGGCAATAGAATAGGCCAAGCATTGAATGCCCATTTTGGAGCGACTTGCGCGCCGAGCTAGCCGGCTCGGAACTTTCGAGGCTCACGTGGAGCTGAAACGAGGAGATCTCATTGGCTTATCTGCGTGGCAAGAAGGTCTGGCGTCGCCAGGGTCTTGAGTCGAGGGCAAGCGGAACCAGGCTCGGAAACGTCGAGGCTCTCTCTGGGGAAAAGGAGCGAATCCTGAAGCAGAACGAAGGATAACAGGCGAGATGCGATTCGTCGGATGGGGTTCGGTTACCGCCATGCCAAGGCGAAGGAACGCATCTCATTGGCTGTACTACGCCACCTCGTGGATACTCTGGGTGAATTCGAAATCCGGCGACCGACATGGAATTTGAATGTGGACATTGTCCAAGAGCTGATTCAGGCAGAGCTCACCTTCAGGTGTAGTACAGGTATGTTTAACTATGAGTATTGTTACATAGAACTTCCATTTCTTGCCGTAGCTGATCATAAAACACTGGTGAATTCTATTGAATATGGTGATTGATATATTGTTAGATGATATAAATGATAAACAATTAATACAATTTATCTTAGAAACGAAATATTTAAACTATAATCGGTTTACAGAAACAAAGGATGCTATGGGTGAACAGATAAAAAATGGAAGAGTGAGAATAAAGGGGATGATATTTTTTTCCCTACCCGAAATTGAAAAGAATGGCCATCATCATCTCGGTAGTTCTATGTGCTTCCTATCCAGGCGGAGGGGTGTATTCATGTTGACAAAACCAACCTAGGGCTTGTCAATCGTGCTGACGGTTTGAACGGAGAATCCCAAACGCGGCGCTCGATTGTGTCACGATTCTCTTTCCTCCTCCACTTCCCTTTCTCATCTCACATCAACTGAGCGAGGAGAATCAAGAGATTATCAGGCTGCCCTGTACTAAACCACTTCTGCTGAAGGAACTTGAGGTGTGTTTCTGCTTCTGCTACTTCATTGCCTGGTTTCAGGAAGCATTTTGTCTTCCAAATCATCACGCATATCGCCCGCCGTCTGCTAGGCTTGCTCTTGAACGAGCTGTGTGGAAATTAATCTGGCGGAAGGGGAAACTTGGGAAGTGAGGAAGGGGGGAAACCGATACCTCTGTGCATGACTGGAAAATCTAACCAAGGCTCGATTTACGTGTCCTTGGCACGGATATCACGGATGTCTTAACTTTTGTCTGTGCGTTGGGATCTAAAGGCGAAACGACGAGGAAGTGCACGGGGAAGAGAGGAGGCCTTTAAATCCCTCGCAGCCTGACGCTATCCAATCACAGGGGTTTGGGACTGGGAATTTTTTTGGGGAAAGAAAATTCAAGCAAAGGGATCATAATAATCGAGTACAAAGTACTATACAAGCCACTGATTTCGAAGGAACTTCCTGGACCGACATCGTATCAGCACCTGAGCCTCAGCTCAGCTCATCTCTGGAGTCGCCAACACGTGGTGCGAAAATAGTCTCGGGCTCCTGCAAAAGTTAATCAATCGAAATACATCACCAGGAGCAGTTGATTTGCTGGATACTTCGGTCTAGAGACATCCCGGAAATAAAAAGGTGCGTCGCAGAGCCGAGACACGAGGTCTGAGTAACGACGACTGCGGACTCGTCTGTCCGCTGAAATAATCGCAGAGAAGCGCGAGCCGCCTGTTCCGCCATTGTGGTCCGCGCCATTTGTTCGGGTGCTGTACGCCACGCTCAGGCGCTGCACGCAGTATGGCGGCCGACAATAATGAGGATAACTGGGCGACAGGTGACTCTGACGAGGGCCGGGAGGGCGGGACGGAGAGCGGCAGGGCGGACGCGGGGGCTGTGACACAAACGGGGGGTGAGGAGGAAGCGGAGGCGGCGGAGGAGCAGCAGGGATACGCGGAAGAAGGCGACGAATATGCAGAGGAAGCGGGGGAGGAAGAGGACATGTACCAGGAAGGGGCTGATGGAGAGGAGGAGGGGGATGTGGAAGTGTGGGTAGCTGGGCAAGACGAAGAGGAGGCGCAAGGAGAAATGGAGGGTGAGGAAGGAGCGGAGGGGTATGGGGGAGAGGTGGAGGGGGAGGGGAGTGGGAGGATGTGAGGGAGGGCGGGGAGGGGGACGAGGAAGATGTGGAGGTGTGGGTGGCTGGGGCGGAGGAGGCAGAGGAGGCAGAGATCGGAGGAGGAGGAGAGGGGCAGGTGGGAGGCGAGATGGGAGGGGAGGACGGAGGGATGGAGGCAGAAGGGGAGTGGGAGGAAGTGGCGGAGGAGGAGGCGGAGTATCCTAGATGGGCGAGTGATGCGCTGCTGTCGTTTCTGGAGGAGCAAGGGGAGAGTGTGGTTGAGCCTCTGTACTGGTCTGCAGTGAAGAAGATAGTGGCGGGGTACATCCAGGCCAACGACCTCCAGGTGTGTGTGTGTGTGTGTGTGTGTGTGTGTGTGTGTGTGTGTGTGTGTGTGTGTGTGTGTGTGCATGTGTGTGTGTGGGGGTGTGTGTGTGTGTATGCCTCTCTGTTGCAGCTTTATTCGCTTCTCTATGGTACTGATTTCTCTTGCGTATGTGCACAGGGCGACGTTACAGTTCCCTGGCAGTTCGCTGGCTTTGTTCACTAAATATTTATATACATATATATATTTATATATATATACTCATGTATATATTCATATATATACATATGTCTTTGTTGAGTTTCCCTCTCCCTTATTTTCTCTCTCTCCCCTCTTCTCTCCCCCTTGGCACTCGATTGCAGAGGGGCAAGTGGATCACATGTGATGATGCGTTACAAGCTCTCTGCGATACTGATAGTACCACGCAGGCCCAGTTCTACTACACCCTTGCCACGCACTACCCCGTTAAGAGCTCTGTTAAAGTGCCCCGGAGGCTGCTAAAGCGGCAGGCAGAGGAGGAGGCAGCTAAGATGCGAGGGGGAGACAAGGAGAAGGGGAAGGGGACACGTGGCGGTAAGGGGAAGAGGGCACGAGAGGGGGAGGAACAAGTGGAGGATGAGGAGGAGGAGGAGGTGGAGGAGGCGGACTTTGAAGGTGGGGGAACAGGGAGGAGGGGGAGGGGAAGGGGGAGAGGGAGAGGACGAGGGAGGGGCAGGGGGAGGGGAGGGGTAGTAGGGGGGGAGTGTGAAGAGAGGGGGTCAGAGGGTGACGAGGTTTGAGGAGCTGGAGGGTGAGGATACCGAGGGGGGCTATAGAGGAGGGGAGGGAGAGGAGGATGGCAATGGTGATGGTGAGGGGGAGGGGCAGGAGGAGGAGGGGAAGAGGGAGGAGAGGAGGAAGGAGGAGGAGGATGGATGGGACAAGGATTGGAGTTCAAGGGAGGGAGTGACGCAAGAGCAGGAGATGGCAGAAGAAGATGCTGATGGGCAAATGAAGAATGCTAAAAGGCAGCAGCGTCGGCAGCAGCAGGACGAGGAGGCATACATTCAAGAGTTTGACGCAAGGCCTAACCCAGAGCCGAGCCCGGGACGCAAGAGGAAGCGCGGCCGCCCTCCCAAGGCCTCCCGGGAGGAACCTCCCACCACAGCCCGAGCCCTTGATACCGCTCCCACTGCTGCAGCACCTCACTACACCGATCCGTTCGCCTCTGACCCTTTCTCCTCTCATCCAGACGCCCCGGAAGTCACAGACCCCTTTGCCTCCCCCCACGCTCCCCCCCCTCCCCCTCCTCCGCCTGCTCCCCTGGGCCCGGAGTGCGGTTACGCGGCGGTAACCCTGGCGAATCTGGGCGTGATTTTCCTCAAGAGGAGTCAGCTGGAGGGGCTGCTGGCGGACGAGCAGTTCGACCAGAAGGTGGTGGGCACGTTCGTGCGGATCAAGGTGCCCAGCCCCGCCAACCAGACAGAGGCCTGCTACCGACTCGTGAGGGTCACAGGTGAGACAAGGGGGTTGGGGCTGGGCTGCTGGCAGACGAGCAGTTCGACCAGAAGGTGGTGGGCACGTTTGTACGCATTAAGGTGCCCAGCCCTGCGAACCAGACAGAGGCCTTCGTGAGGGTTACGGGTGAGAGAAGGGGGTTGGGGTTGGGCATGTGAGACGCAAACTGGAGGGGCTGCTGGCAGACGAGCAGTGGACCAGAAAGTGGTGGGCACGTTTGTGAGGATCAAAGTGCCCAGCCCTGCGAATCAGACAGAGGCGTGCTACCGGCTGGTCAGAGTCACTGGTAGGTGGTGGTGGTGGTGGTGGTGGTGCAGAGGGTTCAGGGTTTGGGGATTGGGGTGTGGGCAGCGGTAGGGGCACACAGCTGGAGGGGCTGCTGGCAGATGAGCTGTTCGACTAAAAGGAGGTGGGCACGTTCGTGAGGATCAAGTGCCCAGGCAGAGGCCTGCTGCTGACTCCTGAGAGTTACTGTTCTGTGGTGGCTAGGGTGGTAGGGAGGGCTGTTCGGTGGTCGGATGGGGTTTAGGGGCACAAGGGTAGTAGACGAGCAGTTGACCAGAAGGTGCTGGGCACGTTTGTAATAATCAAGGTGCCCAGCCCTGCCAACTAGACAGAGGTTTGTTACCGAATCGTCAGAGGCACTGGTAAGGAGGAGGGTTGGGGTGTTCGGGACCAGTGGTGGTATATCAGGGGCTTAACCAACCGAGTGCTGCTCATGGCGCTGCTTCACTGTGTGAATGCCTCTTACACACCACCCCTCTTCCACCCGTCCAGGCTGCAGGAGCCAGACCGACATGTGCCCAGTGGGCAAGGGCTTGACCAACCGAGTGCTGCTCATCACGAGTGCTCCTGCCCCTTCTCTTGTCTTTCCCGCTTGGCACGTCTTTCCTGCGCCCCGTTTCCCATTCTTCCTACCACAGGCTGCACGAGCCAGACTGACATGTATCCGTTGGGCAAGGGGCTAACCAACCGCGTGCCGCTCAATGCTCATTATGAATGCTCCTGCCCCTTCTCGTCTTACCGGCTTCCCCCTTCCGTTTTGCCTCTTTCTTCCCTTTCATCCTACCACAGGTTGCACCAAGCAGGCAGACCGACATGTACCCGGTGGGCAAGGGGTTAACCAACAGAGTGCTGCAGCAAATGATGGACCACCTCTCTCTTCCCTCCCCACCATCATCCCTCTCCCATGCGTATATGCCAATTCAGGCTGCACGAGCCAGACCGACAAGTACCCCGTGGGCAAGGGGCTGACCAACCGCGTGCTGCCCATCGTGAATGCTCCTCTCTCTGCCCTCCCCTCTCGTGCTTCTCATTCTTCTTTTGCACCTCTCTATCTCCACCCCCCGGCCCTCACAGGCTGCACGAGCCAGACCGACATGTACCCCGTGGGCAAGGGGCTAACCAACCGCGTGCTGCTCATCATGAACCTCAAGACGCCTGAGGCCACCACCATCGACCTCGTCTCCAACTCCGAGTTCACCGAGGTGGTGTATTTTGTGTGGGGGTAAGAACGAATGTGTGTGGAGAAGAGAGTGTGTGAGTGGGCAAGGGCGCCACCAACTGCGAGCTGCTCATTATGAATCTCAAGACGCCTGAGGCCACCACGCTCGACCTCGTCTCCAACTCCGAGTTCACTGAGGTGGGTGTGTGACTGTTTGTGTGTGGAGAGCCCTAGCGCGTTATTTCCCTCCCCATCGGGTTATTTCCCTCCCCATCTTAGGACGCTTTGGGCCCACCACCTTCGACCTGAGGGGTGCGTGCTTCGTTTTCTCCCATCTTTGTCTTTTCCTCCTATCTCCTGTCTCCCTCTGCCACCGTGCCTGGCTCCTTTCGTCCCAGCCTTTCTTATCCTCCCCTGCCCCTTCCCCTCCCTCCCCCCAACCTCACAGGACGAGTGTGCAAAGCTGCGGCAGTACGTGAAGTGGGGGCTCGTGACCCACCTGGCAGTTATGTCTCTTGATCGCAAGTCCCGTTCACCCCCCTCCCCTTCCCCCCTCCCCTTCCCCCCCTCCCCCTCCGCCCCTCTCCAAACACCTCCCAGGACGAGTGTGCGAAGCTGCGGCAGTACATGAAGTGGGGGCTCGTGGATCGACTCACCGTGGTACGTTCTTCTGTTCTGTGCCGCCATGTATCACATGCCATGCCATGCCATGCCATGCCATGCCATGCCATGCCATGCCGTGCCATGCCATGCCATGCCATGCCATGCCATGCCATGCCGTGCCATGCCATGCTGTTGAGTCGACTCTGAAGCTGTGGCTGTACGCCAAGTGGGGGTTTGTGGATCGACTTACTGTGGTACGTTCTGCCGTGATGCCATCCCTTGTGCCATGCGATGCCTTTCTGCACAATGCTGTGCTATGCTTTTGAGTCAACTCAGTAGCGGCGTGAAGTGGGGCTCGTGCATCGACTCACCATAGCATGCCATGCCACGTCCCCTATTCCCCCCCCCACCTTCCCCCCTCCGCCCCCCCCACTTCCCCCCTCCCCTCCCCCTCCCCCCTCCCCTCTCCCCTCTCTCCCCTCTCCCCTCTTCCCTTCCCCTCTCTTCTTTGTCTCGCTGCTATCCTCTCTTCAGAACGCGTTGGTTGGCATGGAGATCGAGCTGGACAATGAAGGCTACTGTGCGGCGCAAGCAGCCAGCCAGCCAGCCCGGCACATGCACTGGCGCAGACTGATCCCCTCGTGATGACTTTTGAGTCGACTCAAAAGTCAGCAGCCAGCCAGCCAGCCAGCCCGGCACATGGTCTCGCACAGACTTATCCCCTCGTTCCGCTCTGCTCCCCGCTCTCCCCTGACTCCTCCCCCTCGTTTTGTTACAATCAGGACGAGGTGGCTGCCAAGGAGAACGAGCTGCACGAGCTCAAGCACAATCTGATGCGAGGCCTGGCCCCTCCCCTCCTTCCCCTCTTTGCGCACTGCACTGCACTGCACTGCACTGCACTGCACTGCACTGCACTGCACTGCACTGCACTGCACTGCACTGCACTGCACTGCCGCTGCCGTGCCGCAAACGTAACGCCTCTTTTCTCTCCGCTCTCCCCTCATCTCTTCCCCCCCACCCCCCTCTCGTTTTGATACCATGAGGACGAGGTGGTTGCCGCGGAGAACGAGCTGCACGAGCTCAGAGTGAATGATGTGAGGCGAGCAGCCAGACTGTCTGTCTCTTGTTCATTCTCCCCTCTCCCCATTTCCCTATCGCGTATCCCCTCTGCCCTCGCTTCAGGACGAGGTGGTTGCCAAGGAGAACGAGCTGCACGAGCTCAAAGTCAACGATGTAAGCTTTTCAATGCTCTATCAGTGGACATCAACGTTATGTATTACATGTGCTCTGTTATGACCCCGGATTAGTCCCCCCACTTTCCTCCCACCCCCACTTTCCTCCCACTTTCCTCCCACTTTCCTCCCATTTTCCTCTCACCGTTTTCCCTCGTTTCTCCCCGGCTCTTCCCTTCCCCGCTGGCAGTGGTTGGAGTCGGAGCGAGTGAAGCTCACCAATCTCAGGGACAGGGCGAGCGAGCGAGGATCCAAGAAAGAATATCCTTCTGCAGCGATGCGATGCTACTCCTGCCCTTTCCTTTCTCTCTTATCCCCTACCCTACCCCTCTTGCCTTTCGTTTGCTCCCCTACCCTGCCACTCTCCCTCCTCCTTCTTACCCTTCCTTCTCTCAACCACTCTTCATTCTTGCCTCTCCCCTTGCGCTACTCTATCCTTTTCTCATGCCTTTTAAGGTTGCCATTCCCTACTTTTGAACAACCAGAACAAGCCAGCCTTCCTGTCCTGTGTGCTCCTTATGGTGTTGTGTACTTAATTCTTATATCCTCTGCTCTCCCCTCTCCCTTAGTTCGCTCTTTCCTTCTCCACTCCGCTTTCCACCGGTGACCCTCCTGCACCCACCTCTCCCTTTCCCGCATCCAAAGTTTCCCCCCGCGTTCTAATTCCAAACTCTCATGCTTTTCCTTAACCAAAGGACCACCATCACCTGCCAACCCTTGACCCGGAATCCGCTGCTGTCTGAACCCTGACCCCTCGCCACGCAATGGGAGCGCGTGCAAGCATTGAAGGAGCTGGATAAGCCGGCCTTCCGAGCCAAGAAGATGGCCGAGTACCCGACCATCGAGGCGGACCCCGACTTGATGCACCTATCGACTGGTGACTCGGATGACGAAGGGAAGAAGAAGAGCTCAGGTGGGTGGGTTACTCTGTTGCAGGTGAGGTTGATAAAGGGGAGCAGGTGGGAGTGTCTGCCAGCCAAGGGTTGAAGGCTGGTAGCTGGGTTCAAGTGATAGAGTGTGTGAAAGCGCTGAAACAGCTGGACAAGCTCGACTTTTTGAGGCGCCTTAAAAAATGAGACGATTTCTGAGGCGCCTAAAAATCGTAAAGTGATCAGAGTGTCTGCAAGCGCTCAAGCAGCTGGACAAGCCAGCCGTTGGAGGCGAAAACATGAACAGAGGTGGGTTACTGGGCTACAGGGTGGGAAAAGGGGAGAGAGCTTGGCTCTGAGTGCGTGCAAGCATTAAAGGAGTTGAGTTGGACAGGCCGGCTACTCGCGTGCCCACACCATCAAGACAGACCCTGACCTGATGCACTTAGGGATGGGTGATTTGAACGACCAAGGGGAGAAGAACATAGGTGGGCTGGTTGCTGGGTTTCGGGTTGGGGAGAGAGGGGGAAAGGGAGGGAATGAGTGTGTGCAAGCATAGGACAAGCCGGCCTTCCGCGCCGAGAAGATGGCCGAGTACCCGACAATTGATGCACCTGTCGACTGGTGATTCGGATGATGAGGGTGCGGAGAAGGGCAAAGGCGGGAAGGAGAAGGGAATAGAGCGTGCACTCTGCTTTTGAGTCAACTCAGAAGCATTCCCATTCACGAACCACGCCCTACTCGTTCACTCATTCCCCCTCCACCCTTCCCACCGTCCCTCTTCCTCTTCCCGCTTCCGCCTTCCCCCCCTCTTTCCCCCCAGACCCCTGGAGCCAGGTCTCCCCCCATTCACGACTGAGGGGGGGGAGAGGAGGGGGGAGTTCAGAGGGAGGGGGAGAGGGAGAGTGGAGTTCGGAGGGAGGGGGAGAGGAGACACTTGGGAAAGCGGGGGAGTGGGAGTGGGAGTGGAGAGAGGAGGGGAGAAGAGGGAGGTGGATAGTGCTATCCCCCTGTCTAGGTCGCTCTCTGGTTCTCGTTCCGAGGAGGAAGAGAGGAGGAGAGGAGGGTGGGGGCATGGGGAGAGAGGGGGTTGGAAGGGGAGCGAGAGGGAGGGGGATGGGGGAGGTCTGACAGGGAAGGGGGGTGGAGGGGGAGGGGGAGGGGGAGTTCTGGGGAAGGGAGGGGGGATATGGGGCGTGAGAGGTGGGAGGACGAGGAGAGGAGGGGGAGGGAGTGGAGGAGGGATGAGAAAGATGGGTGGGGCCGAGAGGGGGAGAGAGGGGAGAGAGGGTGGAGGGATAGAGATGGGGAAAGGGAGGGGAGAGGGGGCAGGGGTTGGGGCAGGGAGAAGGAAGAGAGGGATAGAGGATGGGGCCGAGATCGGGAGCGAGGCGAGAGGGGAGAGGGAAGGGAGGGAGAAGGAAGAGATAGGGAGGGGAGGGAGAGAGAGGGTGCAGGTGATAGGCATTGGAGGAGGGAGGGAAGCGGAGGGACTAGTGAAAGGGGCGAGGAGGGGGGTTACAGGAGAGTCGAGGGTACCTTCAGCGACACACACCAGCAGCAAAACCTGCAGCAGCAGCAGCAGCAGCAGCAGCAGCAGCAGCAGCAGCGGGAGGCAGAGTTAGAATCCGCCTGGCGAACACAACTGTCCCAGCTGGAGCAGCAGCAGCTGTGGCACTACCGCGACCCCCAGGGGGACCTGCAGGGGCCCTTCTCCCTGGCCCGCCTGCGCGGATGGCTGCCCCTTAACGTGTTCCCCGCTGATCTGCACGTGTGGCGCGCGGGGCAGGGCCAGGAGCAGGGGTTCTGCTGGCGGATATTGCTGCGGGGAAGGTGGACCCGTTTCTGCCGGAAAAGCAGCAGTTCTGGGCTGCTGCCGGTGGTGCTGCTGGTGCTGGTGCTGCTGGTGCGGGTGGTGGCGGCGTTGGTGGTGGTGTTCCAAGCGCGGCTGCTGCTGCTGCAGGCGCTTTTGGTGGCGGCGGCAGTGTTGGGACAGGGTTGGCAGCAGCAGGAATTGGGGCAGCACCAGGGGCAGCAGCATTTAGTGTGCCTAGCGGTGGGGGAGTGGGGCTTATGGCACCTGAGGCTCCTCACGTCTCTCACGCGTCGCACATTCCCCAGGCTCCCCAGGTTTCCCAACCGTATGCTGGTGTGGGGCAGCAGGGCATGCCTGTTGCCCCTGTGACTGGTCCTGGTGGGGCAACCGGGGGTCCAGGAGTGGGGGGAGGAGGGGGTGAGGGGTCAGGATGGCAAGGGGGGGGTGATGGAAGCGCGGGTTGGGGAGGAGGTTGGAGTGAGGGGAACAGGCAACCTTGGGGGGGAGGAGGACAGGGTCCTTCTGGGGAAGGTGCCTTCGCAGCAGGTGCTTCTGGGGTGGCTGCCCCTGCAGCAGGTGTTTCTGGCCCCGGGCCAGTGCCCCAGGGTGGTTGGAGGGAGGGGGGAGAGGGCGGAGCGTGGAGGGAGAGGAATGGGGGATGGGGGGGGAGGGTGAGGATGGGGGTTGGAGGAGCCGAGGGGGAGGAGAGGGTGAGGAGGGGGGTTGGAGGAGCCGAGGTGGGGGGGAGGGTGAGGAGGGGGTTGGAGGAGCCGAGGGGGAGGAGAGGGACGGGGGAGAGGGAGTGAGGATTGGAGGGATGGGGGGAGGAGGGATATCTCATTTCGGGGTTCTGGAGGGGGAGAGAGGGGGGGTGATGAGTGGAGGAGTGGTGGTAGTGGGAGGTTTGGGGGCGGTGGAAGTGGGGGAGGAGAGGGTGATCGCTTTGTGTGCCGGTTCTTTGCCAGAGGGTTTTGTCGGAATGGGTCTAGTTGCCGCTTCAAGCATTAGAGCGAGACATCATGATTTTTTAAAGAGAATTCTTAGCGTAATCATAGGTTTAGGATAACAGTGTGACATAAGGTCATCTTGGCGCTGGTTGATTGAAAGTGACTAGTTTGGGAGTGTTAGATGTAAATTGCACTTGTGTTACATATAACGCTGCAGCTCGAGATCGCATTTCGCGCTATAACGAAGCATGATTCCTCCGTCGGTTTGGTGAAAGCTACCTAGGTCGCGTTCATATTTGATGTAGGCTGCAAAGTACGCGCGAGAATGACGCAATTATAGAATGTCAAGCACCACATTGTGCACGAAATGCGCATACTACAGCTCCTTGTGCCATCGACATTCGACACCACGCTGACACTCTCTGACTCTCACGGCAGTACCGAGGCAGTGAATACGTAGTCCAACTTTGATGGATGGTAGGTAGGTGAATTTGGCCCCGTCTCCTGCTGCCTCCCTCTCATATCGCCGAAGCATGTCGTTATCTGCATCTCCCCTTACTTCTCAGACTTCCCTCCAGCTCTCAACAGATGTTCTTATTGACTGATGCGTGACGATGGCAGCCGTAGGCTGACGTAGGTTGATCGTGCTCATCTGAATCGGCTGCATTGCACTCCGAATGCAGCGTACGAATCGTGGCGGGCTGCATGATTCCCAGTACGACTCAAAAGCTTGCTGTAGGCCGACCGTTCGGCCTGAGTTTAAGTTTATCGTAACGTTCTGTATCGTCTGCATTCGGGGGACGGTAGTCATACCGAGGACTTAGACCTTTGATAAAGTAGTCTTTAGAATAGGTAGTGTGTTTCCGGGCGGCTCTTTTACCCCACAGTAATTGATACACGTTCCTCGTTCCTGTAAAGGGGACGGTGGTCATGCCGACGCCGTAGTAGACATTTGACCAAGTAAAGTTCAGAGTACAGTTTCCGATCGACCATTTTACCTCACAGTACTTGGTGCAAGATCCTGTGAGGGGGACGGTGGTCATGCCGACGCCGACGTAGACGTTGATCAAAGCAACGTTTAAAGTGCAGTTTCCGAACGGCCCTTTTACCTCACAGTGTTTGATTCACGTTCCTTGTTCCTGTACGGCGGACTGTGGTCATGCCGACGCCGTCGCGACAGGGAGGCAGTCCACGTGGCGGCACGGAGAGCGTCGCACAGGCGCTTCGCGAATGCGTGGACGACCCCGTGCGAGGCGTGCGACGGCTGGCGACGAGCCATGCTGCGATGCAGCTACAGCGCTCGGCGATGCTTTCGTACGAGACCGCTAAGAACAATGTGGGGGCCGTCTGGCGCAAGTACCAAAGCGGGGAGCTCTTTAACGCGAATACGGTCGAGGCTGTTAAAAGGTCAGTGATCGAGCACGTGAAAAGGCAAGCGATACGAGCTTGAAGTCAGCTACGTCGCGTGTGGAGATCTCTTTTGGAAAAGCTCAAGGTTACAAAATACTAATTTTAACAATCTTTTGAAGCCTAATAGAGGTCTGATCAATCGCGCGGGGCGCAGCTGGCAAGTGACCCAGCGAGGGAGAATACAGGGTGTTTCGCCGCTCGTTCTTGAGAGTGACTGGACGTTTACTTATTATGGGGGATTTACAGGTGGATACGCGTTGCTTGCACCCTCCGGAAACCTTCCCGAGCTTCTGATGGTGCACGTTGTGCGATGGCACGATGGCATAGCAGATGTTCTCTAAAGAGCACCGCATGGCAGGGCACCCTTCCCGTTCCCGAACCCTGAGCCTCCTCCCTCTGCCCACCGCACTTGTGAGAAGCGGATAGGCGCTCCCTCCCTCCTCAAAGGTTTCCCCAAAGTCTTCCTCCCCTCGCCCTCTCTTGCTGCGCTTCCTCCTCAGCGCGACTTTCGAGTCGACTCACAAGTCGCCCTCTCTGGATGCGCTTCCTCCTCTGGCCTGTGCTGCGTAACCTTCCTTTTTTAGGTGCCTCAAAAATCGACTCATCACGCGCGGATTTTGGAGGCGCGTAAAAGGCGGATGCGCTTCCTTCCTCCTCAGGCCTGTGCTGTGCAGCCGTCCCCTCTGGGCGTCTGTATGGCCGTCCCCTCTGGGCGTCTGTATGGCCGTCCCCTCTGGGCGTCTGTATGGCCGTCCCCTCTGGGCGTCTGTATGGCCGTCCCCTCTGGGCGTCTGTATGGCCGTCCCCTCTGGGCGTCTGTATGGCCGTCCCCTCTGGGCGTCTGTATGGCCGTCCCCTCTGGGCGTCTGTATGGCCGTCCCCTCTGGGCGTCTGTATGGCCGTCCCCTCTGGGCGTCTGTATGGCCGTCCTCTGCCTGTATGCTCCCTCTGGGCGTCTGTATGGCCGTCCCCTCTGGGCGTCTGTATGGCCGTCCCCTCTGGGCGTCTGTATGGCCGTCCCCTCTGGGCGTCTGTATGGCCGTCCCCTCTGGGCGTCTGTATGGCCGTCCCCTCTGGGCGTCTGTATGGCCGTCCCCTCTGGGCGTCTGTATGGACGTCCCCTCTGGGCGTCTGTATGGCCGTCCCCTCTGGGCGTCTGTATGGCCGTCCCCTCTGGGCGTCTGTATGGCCGTCCCCTCTGGGCGTCTGTATGGCCGTCCCCTCTGGGCGTCTGTATGGCCGTCCCCTCTGGGCGTCTGTATGGCCGTCCCCTCTGGGCGTCTGTATGGCCGTCCCCTCTGGGCGTCTGTATGGCCGTCCCTCTGGGCGTCTGTATGGACGTCCCCTCTGGGCGTCTGTATGGCCGTCCCCTCTGGGCGTCTGTATGGCCGTCCCCTCTGGGCGTCTGTATGGCCGTCCCCTCTGGGCGTCTGTATGGCCGTCCCCTCTGGGCGTCTGTATGGCCGTCCCCTCTGGGCGTCTGTATGGACGTCCCCTCTGGGCGTCTGTATGGCCGTCCCCTCTGGGCGTCTGTATGGCCGTCCCCTCTGGGCGTCTGTATGGCCGTCCCCTCTGGGCGTCTGTATGGCCGTCCCCTCTGGGCGTCTGTATGGCCGTCCCCTCTGGGCGTCTGTATGGACGTCCCCTCTGGGCGTCTGTATGGCCGTCCCCTCTGGGCGTCTGTATGGCCGTCCCCTCTGGGCGTCTGTATGGCCGTCCCCTCTGGGCGTCTGTATGGCCGTCCCCTCTGGGCGTCTGTATGGCCGTCCCCTCTGGGCGTCTATATGGACGTCCCCTCTGGGCGAATATATGGACGTCCCCTCTGGGCGTCTATATGGACGTCCCCTCTGGGCGAATATATGGACGTCCCCTCTGGGCGTCTATATGGACGTCCCCTCTGGGCGTCTATATGGACGTCCCCTCTGGGCGTCTATATGGACGTTCCCTCTGGGCGTCTATATGGACGTCCCCTCTGGGCGAATATATGGACGTCCCCTCTGGGCGTCTATATGGACGTCCCCTCTGGCGAATATATGGACGTCCCTCTGGGCGAATATATGGACGTCCCCTCTGGGCGAATATATGGACGTCCCCTCTGGGCGAATATATGGACGTCCCCTCTGGGCGTCTATATGGACGTCCCCTCTGGGCGTCTATATGGACGTCCCCTCTGGGCGTCTATATGGACGTCCCCTCTGGGCGTCTATATGGACGTCCCCTCTGGGCGTCTATATGGACGTCCCCTCTGGGCGTCTATATGGACGTTCCCTCTGGGCGTCTATATGGACGTCCCTCTGGGCGTCTATATGGACGTCCCTCTGGGCGTCTATATGGACGTTCCTCTGGGCGTCTATATGGACGTTCCCTCTGGGCGTCTATATGGACGTCCCCTCTGGGCGTCTATATGGACGTCCCTCTGGGCGTCTATATGGACGTCCCCTCTGGGCGTCTATATGGACGTTCCCTCTGGGCGTCTATATGGACGTCCCCTCTGGGCGTCTATATGGACGTCCCTCTGGGCGTCTATATGGACGTTCCCTCTGGGTCTATATGGGTCTTGCTCTATATGGACGTCTCTCTCTATATGACTTCTGGGCGTCTATATGGACGTCCCCTCTGGGCGTCTATATGGACGTCCCCTCTGGGCGTCTATATGGACGTCCCCTCTGGGCGTCTATATGGACGTCCCTCTGGGCGTCTATATGGACGTCCCCTCTGGGCGTCTATATGGACGTCCCCTCTGGGCGTCTATATGGACGTCCCCTCTGGGCGTCTATATGGACGTTCCCTCTGGGCGTCTATATGGACGTTCCCTCTGGGCGTCTATATGGACGTCCCCTCTGGGCGTCTATATGGACGTTCCCTCTGGGCGTCTATATGGACGTTCCCTCTGGGCGTCTATATGGACGTCCCCTCTGGGCGTCTATATGGACGTCCCCTCTGGGCGTCTATATGGACGTCCCCTCTGGGCGTCTATATGGACGTCCCCTCTGGGCGTCTATATGGACGTCCCCTCTGGGCGTCTATATGGACGTCCCCTCTGGGCGTCTATATGGACGTCCCCTCTGGGCGTCTATATGGACGTTCCCTCTGGGCGTCTATATGGACGTCCCCTCTGGGCGTCTATATGGACGTCCCCTCTGGGCGTCTAATGGCGTCCTCTGGGCGTCTATATGGACGTTCCCTCTGGGCGTCTATATGGACGTTCCCTCTGGGCGTCTATATGGACGTCCCTCTGGGCGTCTATATGGACGTCCCCTCTGGGCGTCTATATGGACGTTCCCTCTGGGCGTCTATATGGACGTCCCTCTGGGCGTCTATATGGACGTCCCCTCTGGGCGTCTATATGGACGTCCCCTCTGGGCGTCTATATGGACGTCCCTCTGGGCGTCTATATGGACGTCCCCTCTGGGCGTCTATATGGACGTCCCCTCTGGGCGTCTATATGGACGTCCCCTCTGGGCGTCTATATGGACGTCCCCTCTGGGCGTCTATATGGACGTTCCCTCTGGGCGTCTATATGGACGTCCCCTCTGGGCGTCTATATGGACGTCCCCTCTGGGCGTCTATATGGACGTTCCCTCTGGGCGTCTATATGGACGTTCCCTCTGGGCGTCTATATGGACGTTCCCTCTGGGCGTCTATATGGACGTCCCCTCTGGGCGTCTATATGGACGTCCCCTCTGGGCGTCTATATGGACGTTCCCTCTGGGCGTCTATATGGACGTCCCCTCTGGGCGTCTATATGGACGTTCCCTCTGGGCGTCTATATGGACGTTCCCTCTGGGCGTCTATATGGACGTCCCCTCTGGGCGTCTATATGGACGTCCCCTCTGGGCGTCTATATGGACGTCCCCTCTGGGCGTCTATATGGACGTCCCCTCTGGGCGTCTATATGGACGTCCCCTCTGGGCGTCTATATGGACGTTCCCTCTGGGCGTCTATATGGACGTCCCTCTGGGCGTCTATATGGACGTCCCCTCTGGGCGTCTATATGGACGTTCCCTCTGGCGTCTATATGGACGTTCCCTCTGGGCGTCTATATGGACGTTCCCTCTGGGCGTCTATATGGACGTCCCTCTGGGCGTCTATATGGACGTCCCCTCTGGGCGTCTATATGGACGTTCCCTCTGGGCGTCTATATGGACGTCCCTCTGGGCGTCTATATGGATTCCTCTGGGCGTCTATATGGACGTTCCCTCTGGGCGTCTATATGGACGTCCCCTCTGGGCGTCTATATGGACGTCCCTCTGGGCGTCTATATGGACGTCCCTCTGGCGTCTATATGGACGTCCCCTCTGGGCGTCTATATGGACGTCCCCTCTGGGCGTCTATATGGACGTCCCCTCTGGGCGTCTATATGGACGTTCCCTCTGGGCGTCTATATGGACGTTCCTCTGGGCGTCTATATGGACGTTCCCTCTGGGCGTCTATATGGACGTTCCTCTGGGCGTCTATATGGACGTTCCCTCTGGGCGTCTATATGGACGTTCCCTCTGGGCGTCTATATGGACGTCCCCTCTGGGCGTCTATATGGACGTTCCCTCTGGGCGTCTATATGGACGTTCCCTCTGGGCGTCTATATGGACGTCCCTCTGGGCGTCTATATGGACGTCCCTCTGGGCGTCTATATGGACGTCCCCTCTGGGCGTCTATATGGACGTCCCCTCTGGGCGTCTATATGGACGTCCCCTCTGGGCGTCTATATGGACGTCCCCTCTGGGCGTCTATATGGACGTTCCCTCTGGGCGTCTATATGGACGTTCCCTCTGGGCGTCTATATGGACGTTCCCTCTGGGCGTCTATATGGACGTTCCCTCTGGGCGTCTATATGGACGTTCCCTCTGGGCGTCTATATGGACGTTCCCTCTGGGCGTCTATATGGACGTTCCCTCTGGGCGTCTATATGGACGTCCCCTCTGGGCGTCTATATGGACGTTCCCTCTGGGCGTCTATATGGACGTTCCCTCTGGGCGTCTATATGGACGTCCCCTCTGGGCGTCTATATGGACGTCCCCTCTGGGCGTCTATATGGACGTCCCCTCTGGGCGTCTATATGGACGTCCCTCTGGGCGTCTATATGGACGTCCCTCTGGGCGTCTATATGGACGTTCCCTCTGGGCGTCTATATGGACGTTCCCTCTGGGCGTCTATATGGACGTTCCCTCTGGGCGTCTATATGGACGTTCCCTCTGGGCGTCTATATGGACGTTCCCTCTGGGCGTCTATATGGACGTTCCCTCTGGGCGTCTATATGGACGTTCCCTCTGGGCGTCTATATGGACGTTCCCTCTGGGCGTCTATATGGACGTCCCCTCTGGGCGTCTATATGGACGTCCCCTCTGGGCGTCTATATGGACGTCCCCTCTGGGCGTCTATATGGACGTCCCCTCTGGGCGTCTATATGGACGTCCCCTCTGGGCGTCTATATGGACGTCCCCTCTGGGCGTCTATATGGACGTTCCCCTCTGGGCGTCTATATGGACGTCCCCTCTGGGCGTCTATATGGACGTTCCCTCTGGGCGTCTATATGGACGTCCCCTCTGGGCGTCTATATGGACGTTCCCTCTGGGCGTCTATATGGACGTTCCCTCTGGGCGTCTATATGGACGTTCCCTCTGGGCGTCTATATGGACGTTCCCTCTGGCGTCTATATGGACGTCCCCTGGGCGTCTATATGGACGTTCCCTCTGGGCGTCTATATGGACGTTCCCTCTGGGCGTCTATATGGACGTCCCCTCTGGGCGTCTATATGGACGTCCCTCTGGGCGTCTATATGGACGTCCCTCTGGCGTCTATATGGACGTTCCCTCTGGGCGTCTATATGGACGTTCCCTCTGGGCGTCTATATGGACGTCCCCTCTGGGCGTCTATATGGACGTCCCCTCTGGGCGTCTATATGGACGTCCCCTCTGGGCGTCTATATGGACGTCCCCTCTGGGCGTCTATATGGACGTCCCCTCTGGGCGTCTATATGGACGTCCCCTCTGGGCGTCTATATGGACGTCCCCTCTGGGCGTCTATATGGACGTCCTCCGTTCCAACCTCGCCAGCAACCCTCCCACCTTTACTCGCTTACCCCACATGCCGTTCCCATGGTCCTCCTACCAAGTGCCCACCCCCATCAGATTCTTCCTAGGCCTGGCCAATAAAGCACGTTCCTGGACAGGTGGTCACTGGTCAGGTGGACACTGGTCAGGTGGTCACTGGGGTCACTGGTCAGGTGGTCACTGGTCAGGTGGTCACTGGTCAGGTGGTCACTGGTCAGGTGGTCACTGGTCAGGTGGTCACTGGTCAGGTGGACACTGGTCAGGTGGTCACTGGTCAGGTGGTCACTGGTCAGGTGGTCACTGGTCAGGTGGACACTGGTCAGGTGGTCACTGGTCAGGTGGTCACTGGTCAGGTGGTCACTGGTCAGGTGGTCACTGGTCAGGTGGTCACTGGTCAGGTGGACACTGGTCAGGTGGTCACTGGTCAGGTGGTCACTGGTCAGGTGGTCACTGGTCAGGGCTCATCATCTCTGCATCTCTTCTGCGACCATCCTCGCTCCGTCTGACCGTTCATTCAACTCAACTCAACACGTTTTTCGTTCCCCCCCTCCCTCCCCCGTCTCCCCCGCATCCTCAACACGTGCGCGCTAAACCTGGCTGTATAAGCGTACGTGCAAGTGGGCAGGGCCCATGTTGTCTGCATACACACACTCTCTCCCTTCCCCGCTTCCTCTCTTTCCCCCGTTTCCCCCTACTCTCACCAGATACGCTCTGCACCTGGCTGCTCAGGGTAACGCCCAGGCGGGCAGGGCCCATCTCTTCCGCGTGTACTCTCTCTCCAGCCTCCCTCCTCCCTCTCCCACCGTCTCCCCTCCTCTCCTACCCCGCATTCCCCCCCTCGCATTCCTTCCAGATACGCCCAGGCTAAAGATCTGCACTCCTTTTTATATCTGGCTGCTAAAGCACACATGCAAGTGGGCTGGGCAGGCAGGACTCATCTCCTCTGCGTCCACACTCTCTCCCGCCCTTCTTCCCCCCTCGCCTCGTCGTCCCTCTCCTCTCCTCCCTCACTCTCCTCCCTCACTCTCCTCCCTCACTCTCCTCCGCTTCCTCCTCTGGTCCTCCCTCCCTCCGCCTTCCTGTTCCCCCAGCATCTCAACAGATACACTCTAGGCCTGGCTGCTAGACCACACGTGCAAATATGCAGGGCCCATCTCTTCTGCGTCCGAACTCTCTCCCGCCGACTGTTCACTCCACTGAACACGCTTCGCTCGCTCTCCCTCCCTCCCTCCCTCCCTCCCTCCCTCCCTCCCTCCCTCCCTCCCTCCCTCCCTCCCTCCCTCCCTCCCTCCCTCCCTCCCTCCCTCCCTCCCTCCCTCCCTCCCTCCCTCCCTCCATCGCTCCCTCCTCTCTCTCCCCCACCAGATACGCTCTAGACCTGGCGGCTAAAGCACACGTGCAGGCGGGCAGGCCCATCTCTTCTGCATGCAAACTCTCTCCGTTCCCTCCTTCCTCTACTTCCCCTTTCCCCCAACTTCAACCACATACGCCCTAGATTTGGCTGCCAAAGCACACGTGCAGGTGGGCAGGGCCCATGTCTTCTGCGTGCACTCCCGCCAAGTGACTGTTTTCTCAACTCAAGACGCTTCAATCGTCCTGCCTCCCTCCCTCCCTCTGCTCTCTTCCCCACCAGATACGCCCTAGACCTGGCAGCTAAAGCACACGTGCAGGTGGGCAGGGCTCATCTCTTCTGTGTCCACTCCCTCTCCCGCCTCCCTCCCCCTCTCATCGCCCCCCTCCTCTCCTCCCTCACTCTCCTCCTCCTCTTCCTCCTATGGACCTCCCTCCACTCCCCCACCACCCAAGTCTCGCAATTCGCCCCTCCCTCCTCCCTCTCACCGCTCTCCACCTCCTCCTCCTCCCTCGCCTCTCTCAACCCATCGTCTAGCATATTCACTGCGTGTCAAGACCTGCTGGCGGCACACGGTAGGGCTGTGAGCGTAGCAGTTGGGGGGGATGAGGGAGGGCCAGGGGCAGCAGCAGCCGTAGCTGCTGCTGCTGCTGAAAACGCCGCTGCAACTGCTGCTGCTACCACCCCTGCTGGGGCATCCGGTCCTAGCAACACCACTGATGAACCCTCCACCAGCCAAGACCCATCACAACCAGCACCACCGTCGCCAGCACAACCCAAACCCATCATTCCCGGATCTGCCCTCCTCACACCAGACTCCCTCACATCCTTCGAGCAGCGCTACGAGTGCCTCGCCACGCAGGGCATCTGGGACCTAGACCCCGTCCCCCGCCCGCTCCCCTGGTTCAAACTCCGCAAGGGGTGGTCCGGGTGGGAGTGCGATGCCGCCTGGTCCCGCCAAGCCTCGGAAACCGGCAACCTGGCCTTTAGCGCCGCCGATGCTGTGGCCGACGAGGCTCGGCACGCGAAGGAGTGGCAGGTTCGGGACGCGGTGAAGTACCGGTGGCGGGCGCATAGGCGGTGCGGGCGGTGGGGGGCGGTGGATAGGGAGGTCCTGGCGGGGAGGCTGGCGGGGCGGAAGGTGCTGATGGTGGGGGATGCCACTAGCGCCATGCTGTATCTCTCGCTCAGGAATCACCTGCTCATGCCGGGAGGTGGAGGAGGAGGAGGGGGAGGGGGAGGAGGAGCAGGAGGAGGAGCAGGAGGAGCGGGAGGGGTAGGAGGAGGAGGAGGTGAAGGAGGAGCAGCAGGGAGTGGGAAGGGAGGAAGTGGGGGCTATGAAGGCCTAGAGCATCTCATAGTGGTGCGAGACGAGGTGCCGGATTTCTGTGCGAGGCTGGACCTGCGGCAGCAGCAGGACTTCCCAGTGTGCACGCAGATCACCTTCGGGGTGCAGATCCCGAGGGTTCCTGCGGACTCCGCATCTATCCTCTTCGTTCGGGACGACATCCTCCGAACCTCGCCCGCCAATCCCGACCCTGCGGCTCAGGATCCGAGCGCCGGACCTGCTGACGCTCCGGCCCTCTCTTTGCCTTGGTTCGACCAAGTGAACAGTAACATTTCCGTGCTTATACTGAATCGCGGGACGCACTTTGTCGAGGATGAAAGGTTCATCCCCCAGCTGAACGAAACCCTCACCAAAGTGCGGGCGGCGGCTCCTGACCTCCTCATAATTTACCGAAGCACGCCGCCCGGCCACGCGCACTGCGACCAGCTCCTCGCACCAATCACTGAGCGCCAGGACGCCTCGTCTCTTCCCAACCACTGGGGGGAGCTTGCCGCCCAGAATGAGTGGGCGAGGCGGCTGGTGAAGGGGGTAGGAGGGGTGTTCCTGGATGTCGATCCGATGACTGCTCTGAGACCTGATGGGCACATTCGCCCGCCCTCTGACTGCCTGCAGTACTGCCTGCCTGGGCCCCCGGATGAGTGGACCAGGATGCTCTACCACATGCTGCTGGACTTGCTTTGACCTTCTTTTGGTTGACCAGGGTTGAATTGATTTTACTGCATATGTACCCCCAATGAGTGGACCAGGATGCTCTCCCACATGCTCTGCTTTGACCCCAGTTGACCTGGGTTGACCTGCAGTGACCTGGAGTGAGGGGGTTGTCGTACGATGTCTGGTCTGGGTTTACACTCGGGAGGGATGCACGGTACCGGTAGTATGTTGGACAACCCTGCTGACATGCACAGTATTGGCTGGCTGGCCTGCCGTGTTTCCTGCTTTTGTTCGGCTTCTGCTTCTTATCTGTCATTCGGATTACCCACTACTGTGAAAGCTTGCTTAGGTCCTCTTGTAAAGGCAGCGAGCTTCATTTCATCTGGGTAACATACCGTAAACGCTCGGATAGGAGACCCCTATGTCTTATCATATACCTACCGACCTAAGAAGTGGTGAAATATGAGAAATTTTTGTAATGAACAATTTACAGATTGTGATTCGACTAGAAGAGGAGTTTGCTGTAAAGGAGACAAACTCCTTCATCTATCGGCAGGTCTTTCAGACCTGCCACCTAGTCTCATTTGCATTTTTCTGTTCCAACTTGCATACCACCAGCACACTCTAAACCAGGCCCCTAGATTGGTTTTTAGGAGCCCTGATCGCTCAGGATTGTGACACGACCTCAGAGGAGTGTGCAGTGCAGTCGTCATAGGTGCAGTGCAGTCGTCATAGCATATCATAGCTCCATAATACAGCACACTAGATAGGGCAAATACATGGCAAGGGAACAAGGCTGAACGGCCATGCTAGTTATCAAAGCGAGGGAGGGAAGGGTGGGCAAGTTGGAACAGAAAAATGCAAATGAGACTAGGTGGCAGGTCTGAAAGACCTGCCGATAGATGAAGGAGTTTGTCTCCTTTACAGCAAACTCCTCTTCTAGTCGAATCACAATCTGTAAATTTTACATTACAAAAAATTTCTCATATTGTGACACGACCTCAGAGGAGTGTGCAGTGCAGTCGTCATAGGTCGAACGAGACATCAAGTGTGAGGGCGTCGACGGTGGCGCTCAAGGGTGGCCTGGTACCGATCGGTCGCGCTCGAGCGAGTAGGATCTTGTAGCATGCGAGAAGCGGCCACTAGCTCGCGGTCAAGCTGAGTAATGTAAAGCTCCTTGGCTGTATCACTTCGCCAACGGCCGAGGGCCTTGAAAAGCCGGTCGGGGACTCCAACATCAACGGCGACCGTCGCAGCTGCCTTGCGGAAAGAATGGGTGCCCATGAGGGCTGGGTTGAGGCCGACACGGGAGAAAGCATCTCGACACCAACCCCGAATGGCGGCGTACGAGGGAGGGCGATCTGAGGGGGAAGCTCTGGCACCTGGCTGAAATATACGAATAAGGGGGCCAAGGGTCTGCGGAGAATAGCCAGCCAGGAAGAGGAACTGTTGGACACGCGACACCGGACAGTGGCGGGCAGAAGAAGCAGCCACTGGGACCCAAACACCGGTGCCCGCTTGGTCGGTCTTCGAACGGGGGATGAACAACCACATGCAGTCCCGATCGAACTCGATCTGGTGCCACTGGAGGGAGATGAGATCAGAGAAACGAAGGAAGGCTGCGAACATGAGGAGGGGAATAAGGCCCCGTTGGAATGTGGCCGGATCATGCGAGGAGAAGTGGAGGTCACAGATATCGTAAATCTTGGCTGGAGGAATGGGCTCTTTCGCTTGAGATGGCTTGCCACAATGACGCATGGCATAATCCTTGACTTGCGAAGAAAAGGGGCCGCGAATCGGGGAGGGGTGGCCGACCAGCCAATGGGCGCAGGATATGGCGGAACACGCAGTGCGCACAGCTGAGACGGTAGCGCCGCGACGGACCGAGTGCAGCAGAAAGAGGGCCGATGTCAGGTCGGTGGCGAGAAGGAAGGGAAGTGAGTGCGCCAAACAGAAGGCTCGAAACTGTCGCCAATAGGGTTCATAAGTGCGAAGGGTAGACTTTGCCCGAAGATCGACGGTGAGTGTGAGAAGGTCCGACAATAATCGACCAATATATGAGCCTGCGCAGTGAAATAAAATGCTACATTAGTTGAATGCAAAACGAAGCGCATACATTGGAGAGTTCGGAAGACCGGCACCGCTAAAGGCATAACGGTCACTGCCAACACGTAAACAACTAGCACCCAGGGTAAGGCGAAGGGCCATAACGACCTCCGGGGCCCAAGTGAAGCCGTCCAGGCTTAGCAAAGGCCACCAAAAAGCACTAGGCCAATATGGGATCACGAGAGTGAAAGAAGTGCGCGAGCGACGGGCATGAGTTAGGACAGCCGGGATGAGGGCGGGTGGAGGAAAGGCGAAGCAATTCTCGTGTCCCCAGTTAATAGAAAAGGCATCTTGCGCAACCGCCGAGTGTGAGAACTCGAGGGAGCAGAAACGAGCGAGCTGCGCATTGGCAGGGGATGCAAACAAGTCGATGGTATGAGGCCCCCAATGTCTCTCCAGCAGCAGAAACCAAGGACGTGTCAAGGAGTAGTCGTCGTGGAGATCAATCTTGGACAGAGCATCGGCCTCAGTATTCAGCGCACGGGGAATCCATTGGACCGTGAGACGGATCATATGGCGCACGCACAATTGAATAATTGCGCGGCATACGAAGGTAAGCTCGGGACGGCGAGAGCCTCCCTTCTGGAGGATGTAGTAGGCCGCCTGACTGTCGCTGCGGAGCAAGATGTGCGAACGCCGGATTTCGACAGAAAAGGCCGAAAGGGACCAAAAGATTCCGGCCAACTCGCGAAGGGTACTGGACGAGCCCAAGAAGGCTAGAGGCAGCGGGGAGGAGAGCGAGGCGACACGACCATCCGGCGCGGAATAACAAGCCCCCCAGGCATGGTCGCTAGCATCCACGTACATGACAACGTCGTACAAATGCGGGTTGTGGAAGCGGGCGCCGTTGAAAATGTCGAACTGTGTGAGCAAAAAACGCAGCTCTTCAACAGACTCAGGGGTTAGGAGAATGGCCGCCCCCCATGAGTGGCATTCGGCGATCTGAGCGAGAAGGTGGTGGGAGAAGGCGCGCGCGACGGTGCCAAGTGCCAAGGACATGGAGGCCAACATGTCGGTGATGCGGGCAACGCGGCGAACAGGGATGCGACGCCCGTTAGCGCCGAGTGTGCCTAATTCATCCAGCTCGGCAAACAGCCGATCGCGCCGATCCGCATCGACAGAGAATGTGGTGGTGCGCGTGTCCATCAAGAGGCCCAAGAACTTCAAAGATTGTGCTGGCGCGAGTTGTGATTTTTTGAAATTCACTACGAAGCCCGTGGCTGCAAGGTCGGCGATGATTATGGAGCGGTTGTGAAGTGCCTTTGTTCGAGTGGCACTAATGAATAGGATATCATCGACGTATGGAATAAGGCGGATGCCACGACTACGCCAGCGTTTGGAGAGTTGCTTAATTAACTGGGTAAACACAAATGGCGCTGTAGCCAGTCCGAAAGGCAAGGAGAGGAATTGGTAGTCCTGCCCTTGCAGGGAGAATCCGAGAAACCGCCAAAAGGCGGGGTGAATGTCGACGTGGTGGTACCCAGATTTGAGATCGATGGTGAATAGCCAATCGCCTTCTTGCACCAAATCAGGAACGCGAGTAAGTCCTTCGTATCGAAAACGACGCACCGAGAGGAATGAGTTGACATGCCGCAAGTCCAATATCAGCCTCTTTTTAGAGGGTTGGACAATCACGTTTAATGGGCTAACGCATGTAAGGGTTGCGGAAGGAGGTACGACCCGAGCTGCGCCGGTGGCGAGAAGCTCGGCCACTGCACCTACAGTGAAAGATGTGAATTGCAAGGCACCAGCATGATTCTTAGTACGAGACGGGGGGGGCTCAGAGGCAACCCATGGTAGGCGATATCCAGATGTAATCACCGATAGAATCAAGTGGCTGTCGCACCAGGCGGACCACCATGCAGCGCGGTCACGGAGGCAGCCTTGCATGCGGGTAATCTTGGTTGCGTCATCGGCATAGGCCGAAATGGTTTCGAGCTCTGGTGGGAGAGGGAACACAAATAGGGACGGTAGAGAGTCAGGAAGGTGCTTCACCTCATTTAGTTCCGACCTCAACAAGGGAGTTTTTTTTTTTTTTTTTTTTTTTTTTTTTTTTTTTTTTGTCGGGAAGGAAGGCAAACGCTAATTATAGGTGCCCACTCGCTCGCTATTCTTCGGCCACGTCATCCCTCAAGTAATAAACCATTGGATTGGGCATGTCAACTTGGCATACTGGGCTGTAGTTGGTGGTCATATATGGTGATGACATAGAAATCTTGTCATGAGTCTTATCAACGGCAGTCTGTAGAGGACGCACACACATTGTGTAAGCGTCTTGTGGGCACGTTCATGTCTTCTTGCACAGGCCCAACGGGCGAGACCATGTGGTCGTATGACATGCGTATTAATCTTACTTGAGTGCAAGAATATGTGTGTATGTTGTTGTTGTTGTTGTCTTTTCTTTTCTTTTCTTTTTTTAAATATATTAAGAACGCTACAACATCGGAGAGGTTAAACAATCGTTACACAATCTTAGCCGGCCGATTGGCCCCTTGGCCCCTTTGGGGGCAATTAGCCATCCCATGCCCGGGTTCACGACAATAGAAACAACGGCCGTCGCCGTCCCTACGCCATGTGTTCCAAAGGCGCTCCCCTTGGCCTCGAGGGTGAAGAGGGGGTTCAGGACGGGATGTGGAATGGGTGGGCCGAGTGGGCCTCTTCTTGCTAGCCGCTACAATCTGAGAAGCAGCCTTGACATTCTTATCCTCTACCACTTCCGCGTACTTAATCTTAAGGGCCATATTGGCCACTTCAAAACCGTGTTGATCGGCGGTAAACAAAAAATGGATCTTTTCTTCCGCCTCCTCTACTATCTGCTGGAGATAGTCGGCGGCTTGTTCACCACAATCAGGTGGTAAAACCGAGATAGCATGACGTGCAATAGCTTGAATGCGCTCAAAACTAAAAAGCTGCGTACGAATGCCATCGCTTTTAACTAAGGAAGAGCGCAACTGAGGACGTGCAGGTGGAATAGGAGCAAGGGCGAGCGCTGCAGAAGCGGATTTTGGGCGGGCAGCATTACCTTCGTCGAGCGTGGCATGGGGTGCTTCCTCGTCCATTTCGTCGTCCACGGGCTCGGGGGCGGGCGCCGGGAGGCGAGAGCGTGGGGCTGCCGCCACTGCGACGCGTGCTGGTTCCGGAGGCGGTGCTGGATCGGCGCCATTGCCACGCTGGAGCGCCGCAAGAAGACCAAGAACGTGGTGAATGGCCTCATTGTTGGTGCCGGCGTAAACATTATTGTCGGTGTAGCGAGCAGAATTATTTTCTGCAGAATGAGGCGCTGTGGATGCAGTGGAGCGTGCTGTAACGCGTTCGCCAGCAGCAGCTCCTGTGAA